AAAACTATGTTAATTCATATTTATGTTAATCATTAATAGGTTTGTCTGTATTCTGATAGTGAGTGGTTTCATTTTATTGGATTATCAATTTATTTAAATAACAACAAAACACTATTTTGAATTGAAGTCAAAAGGATAACTACATTCAAAACGCAGAAGTCCTAAGTGTTTACTTATGTTTAAACGTCGGTATCTGTTTATTTATGACATTTTTTAATTTTTAGATTTTTATTTGGTAGTTATGTAATAAAAAAAAGGAAAATATTACAGTTGCAATTACATTTCACAAATATATAACAATGATCATTTTAAATTAATGATCATTTTAAATTTCATTTCTGTATCAGAAATTTATAACAAATAAATAATCATCGGAATGGATTAAAATATCGCCGATTTCCTGGGTCAAGAACCAGTCATAAGATTACAAACTAACAATATTTGAAAAATAATTTACCATACGAACATTGAATAGTTGGTATTTCTGTATCCTATAAGACGAGTGTAATGACAATGTTGAAGTTGATAAGTTCGCCTAGCAGGCAGCTGGTTTAAATATTTCTGAATCTGACTTTTTTAATTCGATATCGTTTGCAGAAATATATTAAAAAATAACACAGCCACACAAAATAGTCGACTTAGGGACCCAGAGGTCAGACCATGTTTATTATACGTTTTTTGGGTCGTTGAATCCATTCCATTCAACCCCATCACCTCAGGATTTTTCATAACCTTAAAAAAAACAATATTCTGAACAATTAACCATATATCTTTAAGGATCAAGCTTCCAACGATATATCCTATTAACCAAATTCCATAAACATTTAACCCAATGATATCCCAACCTAATAAGCCCATGAACCCAAACCCTGATAACCCTATAACCTCATAACCAAGGGAATAAATCATAGGCAACCTGTATTATTGCCAAACATGTCTAGTCATTTCACATGCCCGCTCTTTTGATCTAGTCGTTCTAGTAATATAATTTTTTGGGTTATGTATTGTTATCCTTTGAATTTTCATTTCATTTAATCTATTCAAGGGAGATTCTTAACATTATATCATTCATTTATTTATTTTAGTTTTATTGATTAATTTATAGTACGGTCTGTCCTACAAATTATTTTTTTTCAATAGCTCTTATGAGAGCACAACCACCTCGTGTTGTATATCGAGTAATGCTAATGCCCACGGTCAAACGAATTAAAGTTATAAAAAAACTAGATCTACTGTCACACACGATTCTTTGGTGATAGGCTATTGAATAGAGGATTTTAAAAGGAAGACGATGACGTTCAAGATATTTTATTACATGAATAGTTCAAATGGTCATTTTAGATGAAAAAACCGCGGAGCGCTATTAAATTAGAGGGTGAAAATTGGAGATAGAGCAGGGTTCGTAGCGGCCGGGAAAACCGGGAATACCGGGAAAAGTCAGGGAATTCGTTATTCTTCATAAAAAACAGGGAATAGTCAGGGAATATTAAAAATATTCATGAAAGTCGGGGAATTTGATGTTTGAAACTGGAAATTTTATGAAAGCCGGCCCTAGGTTCTTCAAAGAGAAAACTATTTGTGATTTTGACACCTATATAAGAGGTTCTTAGGCTATAAAAAAGATTATGGGGTCCAGTCGAGAAGAAAATTAATGCATAAACACCAATTAGTAGGTATGTAAAAATGAACTACAAGTGACGTGGATTTTTTTTATAAGTCAGGGAAAACCTGGAAAAGTCAGGGAATTATTTCTTACTTTTGAACTATGAATCCTGTAGAGGTGAAAATGCACCCCTTTCAGTTCAGGGTGGGAAGTAGCTACACATATAGAGTAAAAGTCAGAATTGAAATTTTTATTTTAAAATTTGTATTAGGACATCTTTTGAAGTTATAAATAGATTTCTTTTATAAAAATGTTTTGTAAAATAATAAATAATGGTACTTCTCTCTTAAGTATTTTCCTGTTTTTTTTTTTACTTTATGAGCACCCTGTATATCTAATCTAAGATGTTTGTACGACAGTCTCATTTTTTGAGGAGCAGAACTTTTTATAAAGAGTGACATTTTTCGATAAAGTAAAAAACAAAAGACTTTCTTCTCTTGTCAACTCCATCCGTTGACATACTGTGTATACATTATTAATAAACATATTCTCAAGTTTTTACTAAATTATTTTATTAAAAAAGTAAAAAAATCAAAAAATATTATTTTTTGCTTTCTTTAAAATTGTTTATTAACGATTTATTGAATAAAATTTTCCTTTTACATTTTTTAAATTCGATGAGAAATTCAATTCTCTACAAAATTTTTCCTATCTCTACAGAAATTTGGCTTCGTTTTCGTGCTATATTTAAAAAACTGCAAAGTGCATTTTCACCTCTATCTTCAATTTCAACCCTCTAATTTAACAGCACCCGGCGATTTTTTCATTTTTAATGTCCCTTCGAACAAGTCATGTGATGAAAATCCTTGAACGTCTTATTTCCTTCCTTTTTTGCAAAAAATGAGAATTAAAACGTATAAGAGTATAGTTTGAGCGGCCATATATCAATCATCAGTTTTCATCCAAAAATACTTTACAACCTCTCGTTTTGAAGGAAATTTTATCTACTTTTTTTTCTATGAATCAGTGCCTATACCTATCTTTACTCAAAAAAAAAACTAGAAGCAAAAAAGTAAAAAAAAAATCAGAAAATCGAATATTTTGCTTTTTTTCATATTGTTTATTAACGATTTTTTTGCATAAAATTTTCCTTTTAAATTTTTTAAATAAGCTACATATTTCCATATGAAAATTCAATTATCTAAATAATTTTTCCTATGGACTATAGCGTACTTTTGCTTCGTTTTCGAGTTACAATAAAAAAACTGAAAAGGGGTGCATTTTCACCCCTATTTCCAATTTCCACCCTCTAATTTAATAGCACTCCGCGGTTTTTTTTTTATCTAAAATGACCCTTTGAACGATTCATGCAATAAAATTGCTTGAACGTCATAGTTGTGGTTAGGGAATCGTGGGGTTTTGGGGTTTGAGTGCATAGGTTTTTAAGATATCCATGTTAATGTTTAGCCATAATACAGATTGCCTATGATTTATCAGTTATGGGGTTATGGGGTTAAGAAGTTACGGGGTATATGGGCATTTTTTGGGTTTGAGTACTTGGGTTTTCAGCTATAATACCGATTGCCTATGATTTATTCCCTTGGTTATGGGGTTATAGGGTTATTGGGGTTTGGGTTCATGGGATTATTAGGTTGGGATATAATTGGGTTAAATGTTTATGGGATTTAGTAAATTGGATTTGGCGTTGGAGTCTTAAGGTTTTATGGTTTAATTGTTCAGAATATCGGTTTTTTTTGAGTTTATGAAAAATCCTGAGGTGATTGGGTTCAATGGACCTCGGATTCGGATTCAGCGACCCAAAAAACGTATTATAAATATGGACCTCTGTGCCCGAAAGTCGGTTTTTTGTGTGGCTGTATAATTAGTTTAATCCAAATTTAACTTTTGCTTATAAGAACAATTTGAGGATGTGAACAATTTTTAGAACAATTTGACCGAACTGGCAACATTTACCTGAGAAAACTACTACTCGTTAAGCAATCGTCACTTTTTCTTTATTTTTTTTTTCGGGTGATATTCGACACTATTATTTTATACTTTCTATTATAGTTCCTACTTGAGGTAGTAAGAATAGCACAGTCGATTCTGATCAGAAATGAAACAGCATGTTTTCTACGAAAGGTGTATTGTATAAAAGTACATAAATCTACAAAATACAGTTTCACGAACAATAATAATAACGCAGGGAATGAAACTGCAAAATGACAAAATCCAAGGGAATGAATTCTATTAATTAATATTGCTGGTTATACCTAAAATCCACAAGCGTGTTCATTATTTATAACACTTGCATGTATTCATATTACAAAGTTAACATTAACATCATTATTGCACCATTCGGCCACGTAAATTAACTCCTTAATCTATAAAAAGAAAATCAATTAAATAAGAGAACTAAAATTAACGCATCTATAAGTAATGACTAGGAAAGAATTATATCATTAGCCGATATAAAACTAAAATCTAACCGGTTAATCTGCTACTAGTTCTCTCATGCCGAAACATGGATGGAACCTCATAACAGCAAATTCATATGAAATTACTGCCATGACGATTTCAGTATGTTTCTACACTTCTACAATGGTTAGTACAAAAAAATAAATAACTTAAAAATTAAATGACTTAATTCGCTTTTCACCAAAACTGAGAGCTTGTGTGAAAAACGTGCAAAGGACTAGTTACACTCTCGTCTATTGTTTACAAAGTGCCACAAAAGCGGTTCACAACCCTTTTGCGACACTTTATTATCAAAACGTCTCGTAAAATTAAAATAATAAAACCCTGGTTTATCGGCTAATAGTACGGTTTGCCATTACCACAAGGGTGGATTCGATCTGAAACTAGCAAAAATATGGTGCGTCTTGTATGAAAATTTGTTGCACAGAAGGAAAACCATTTTTGACACCTTGTGTATTTGTCATTTTTTGAATTCCTCTCTTTTTCCGATTACAATTATATAAACATGTCATATATTTACTTTAATAGCTTTCACAATATTTTGATTTATTTACTGATCCCGCATATGATCAAGATTGCCATGAAACCAGGGTGTGGATATGTTTTCCGCTTCTTTAAATTCTCTAAGAAAATATCTTATTGAAAACGGTGTTTTGTAATGCTTTCATATTGTCCTGGACAAAGGACACATCGACGCTTTAGTACGAAAACATGCTATCCCAGATTTCGGTTCGAAAACATGCTATCTCAAATTAAGCTTGCTAGCTCAGATCTTTAAGTAGAAACATGCTATCTCAGTTTGACTAGAAATTTAAATTGACACATTGAATGATTGAAACCGTGCATTTATAATAAACTTATATAATATATTTTTAAAAAAGTAAGGAATGTTTAAGATCTGAGCTAGCATGTTTTTCAACCGAAATTTGAGATAGCATGTTTTCTAACCGAAATCTAACATAGCACGTTTTCGTGCTAAAGCGTCGATATATTCCAAGCAAATGTATTTTTTATAAAGCCCTATTAACCACAACATTGATTCGTTTAATATTTTTTCTCTTAGGATAAGTCATGTAAATTATTAGATCGTTCTTTGTTTAGTTTGTCTTTCATAATACTTCATAGAGAGAACTACATGAATAAATTTATTTCTTCATTAGAAAAACTTAATTAACAAAAAGTCCTTTGTCTGGAACACGAGGAGGTTTTTATCGAACTCTGTTTGTAGTTTGACAACTTTTTCTTAATAAAATATTTAGATATTTGTTTAGTAAATTTAACAGTGGAAAAGTAAAACTTTATCCATTATGGAGGCTCAGTAAATAAACCAAAATAATGTGCAAAGCATAAAAGCAAATATTTGCCATATACATATAATCATTGTAATCAGAAGAAGAAACCGAAAAAGCGAGAAATACAGAGGGGTTCAATTTTAAAAAGTTTGGTTTATATCACCTAAATACGCATTCAATTGTTTTTATGCAATTCTCTTGAGACTAAAATTTTCGGTCTAACCATTTGCTACGAGGCATATCCACAAAGTAAGAATACTGAGACTCTGTTGCTCTGTGGTTTTTGTTTCCGATAAAGTTGACAAAACTACATTCAAGGCCAAGGTGGTGGGAGCAGAACACGCACTCATTTGTCTTACTCAGTTGAGAACTGTTGTTGTAATGGCGTGTTGAAATGAGTGCCTTTATTCCGAATCTCGCCAGGTGCGGGGCGAGGAACTTAATCTGGTTTCTTCTTGGAACGGGAAAGGCGCCGTTCCAAATTTTTAACGAAATCAAAAGTGTATATGAAACGAAGAGACAATCAATGTAGTGGCGACATCCGCCTTCTCCATCAAAGAAAATATTCAAAACCGTTGTTTTGGGCCGAAATATCATGACAACTGTGTTTTGGGACTCTGGTTGATTTTTTTCCCCAAGGAGAAACAATTAATGCTGTGAGGTACTGTGAAATCTTGAAAACACTACGAAGGGCGATACAGATCTAAATAAGGGGAATATTAACGACGGGAATGTACTTCTTGCATGACAATGGAACATCATCACCTACCCAGCTCACAGCCCTGACTTGGCGCCTTGTGATTTTCATATTTTCTCTTCTCTGAAGGTGTTTATGGGTGGAAAAAGGTTTTCTACCGATGATGAGGTCCACAGTGGCGTGAAACAATGGACTCGAGAGATGGGGGTAGATTTTTTTGATGAAGAAAACTCATCCTTTGGCTCACAAAGGGCAAGTTGAAGATGAGCACGTCGGAAAGTGGTGTTAGAAGTACTTTCCTGAATATGTAAATTTTTCATAAATATACTAGTTTCGATTTTTTTTTAAATTGAGTGCTCTTACTTTGTGGGTATGCCTCGTAGATAGAAAGGAAAAAAAAAATTAGAATGTTTTGTGAATGACCCTGCACACTGAGAATATGACGACGACATATTTTAATTCTCAACCCAAGAGACCTCTAGGGTTGTGTTCTTTTTTTTAACAAAACTTATTAAGTTGACTTGGTATCTTTCTCATTTTTTTGGGCTTGTCAGAAATATTTCTGATGCCCTATGTTTGATTACTAAAACTACGTTAAATTCATTAATAAAAATATTATAATGGTGTTCTGATTTTTCGTGTGTTATACTGTGTCCCTTGTCACAATTCACGTTGTGTAGAAATACGATTCTTAAGTTTATAATGTCCATCTTTATAGAAATTGGTTCATCCTGTACAACAAATTTTGAGCGTTTAAAATTAAGTCTTCGTCTTTTTCCTGTTACAAGAGATGTAATGAGAATTTTTTTTAGTTTCATATCCAGCCTTAAGGTACCATAGCCATTGTGAGTAGAAGGCAACTATTATCTTAACACATATTTCTACGTTATTTCCAGAACAGATACATTTAAAAACATCGTCGTTACACAGACAAATATATACATATCTTTTTAAAGATAAGTAAGTACAGCTGCCACTTGGACAAAAAAGAAGCACCATTCGAAACAGCTCATAAATAAATAAATATGTACAATTATAATTCTAATGGCACACGAGAATTCACAGGTAGTTTTCATATTCTAAGGCACACGAAAGGCACGTGATAATACATAGAAATACTTGAATTTGATTTGTCATTGGTTAATCTAAATTACTTAAGTGTAGTATTAATTTTGGTTAGTTTTTTGGTATGTATTTTCGGAGAACATCTTTTGGAATTGTCATGGTCCCACGTAGGAATTTAGTAAGTGCCCAAACGAAACGAAAAAAATTAAACGGCTATAGCCAAACCTAGGGCGTATCCCCTTTCCGAATTTTGACCGTAAGTCTGCCTGTCTCTCCCAGATTGCGAGGAAAAGTCGACAGGTTGGTCCTGTAGCATTATATTGTTACCGAAACGACCAGTTGCGTTCAGTATGACCGAGGGATGTCTTATGGTCGAATAAAGTATCCTCTCTGGGTTAGGAGAGATTACGGTCGATCTGTACAGCATTGGAGATCTGATAGCGCTATCAGGACCTTTTATTACCGAATCACCTAGTCTGGATCCAACAGAAACTATAACGGGGGTTGGTGAAGCTTCGTTCTTGTCCGGAGATGCTTCTCTGGAGTTGTGTCGGGCGTTCATCCTCATACAGGACGATTCCTCGTGCTTATAGAGGTAGGACTTCAAGGCGAATGCTTTGCCGCACCGTCCGCAGATATGGGGTTTGGTGTTGGAGTGGGTTTGGATGTGGGCGCGAAGGTTGGACTTGTCGGCGAAGGCTTTGTTGCAGATCGTGCACTTGAAAGGTTTTTCCCCTGAAACGGAAAGCAATTTTTAGTATTATTCATTAAATTAGCTTCAGCTAGTTATTTTGGTTGTTGACATCTTTTCTCGTGAGTCGTACATGTCAAACTGTGACTTCTTTCCCTAGGTACAAGTGTCACCACTTCCAAGCTATAATAGCCTTTTAAAGTTAAAAGAATGAATTTTCTTCTATCTTTGTTGTGTCTTGTTTCATTTCCTTTTTCGTGTTAGAGGTCGCTAAAATGTACAATCCCTGTACAATCACACGTGACTTTTTTAATTTTGCTTTTTGTGGTTCACAATTGATTAGTGCAGATTTTAGTTTAATTCTGACGTACAATTAACGACCTTTTTGAAAATTTAAAGGGAAGAAGCTTGTAGAGGTTGTTTTTCAGAACACATGTTCATAGGAGAAAGAAGTCACATTTTGTAGGGTTTTAAGGCTATTATGATTCTTCAAAGACTGGAAGGGAAACGTAGTGTTTGAATATTGTTACCCAAGAACCATCGAAGATATAAAGTTCAAATTTGTTACAATCCTTCATAGCAGCTACTTTCTTATTATATTTGAAAAAAAAGTAACTAACAAAAAGTAGTAGCATCGGAATTAAGAGGAGTTCAGACTCTCAGGGGCAACAATTGGAACTATATTGTATAAAATTTCAAATTTAAAATTCATATCTTCAATGGTTCTTCAATAAATTGATTAAAACTAAATTTCAATTCTAATCTTTAAAGGATCATGGAATCTTTTGGGAAACAAATGTTGCTCCTGTTTTCTGTTTGTTTTGAACGGAAAAAATAAACCCAGAAAGTTTGTTCCAAAATTTGTCAGTCACTATAATTGGTCTTTACCTATGGCAAGAGGTCAACAATTTTTGAAGGAGATGCATTTTCAAATATATTCCTGCTATGACGTAGAAAGATAAAATAATTAAGAACGGAGTAAAGAAGAGACGTAAAGTTTAGAAGAAGGTCTAAAAAAATATGGAACAGCATTGTCATTTAGGAAGGTCAACTGGTAATAAGCCAGGTAATAGAAGTAATTTCGTCAGATAGAATTTAAAGAAATCAATACACAATTGGGGGAAGGAAATATTAAAGTAGTTATGTGTATCAAGAAGGTATATAAATAATATACGTATAATAGTTATTTACTTACACCAGAAAGGAGGTAAGTATTATTTACCAGTCGAGGACGACTTTGCGCCCGAGCCGAGCGAGGGCTGGCAATAGAGTCGAAGACTGATAAATTATACTTAACTGCTGCGTGGTGTATAACATTTTATCTGCTCCCACAGTTCTTTATGGTTCATAAAATAAAGATTAGGTATTATTTTTTGACATTTCTTAATCAATTCATTTTGACATTATTCGAAATCTAGTAAAGTCGGCTTGGTTGTTTGGATTTTGTCATTTCTAAGGTGTTTATAAACAAAACTACATACAATTTCAAAGAATGGTGCCAGAACAAAAATACTGGTGTTTCTGAAATGTCACTGCTAGCATATTTCATGGAGAAATCAAGAACTTTAAAGTCAACGGCGAGTTTGTGGAGTGAATCTGAAAACTCAACGAATATGTCAACTTTTGACATAGAGGAGAACGTGGATATATCAAAATACCCTAAATTGAGAGCATTTTCGAAATGTAAGAATGACGGCTATATACCTAAAAAGTCAAAGGTTTTAACAAGGATAACACATATTTGCTAATGAAGGTAGTGACGGTGTTGCAGAAGCATGCCGTTCTGATGAGTTATGCAAACTTACTTTGAACAACGTTAATTTCAAAAATTTCGATGACATTATTGTAGTTAGAATTCCAGATTCTAAAAATGGAATGCCACGTACGTTCACAATTACTTCTCGTCTGGGTTCTGTTCCTCACTTAGAAATTCTCAAGAAATATATCAAGATTAGATTAGAAATTAAAACTGAAATTTCACGCTTTTTATGCACTATCAAGCAGGTGGATGTTGTAACTGCCAGTCGGTAGGAATACCCTTTCTATGATGCCTAATAAGATTGCACAGTTTTTGAAACTAGAACATCCTGAAACATATACAGGCCATTCATTCCGAAGAACATCGATAACGTTACTGGCTAATACAGGAGTTGATGCATTATCAGTCAAGAGAAAAATGAAATACTTAGCTAACAGGATGCTTTACAATGACACTGCAACTTCAGGTCATTTTGAGAAAAATATGAGTTAATAAACGTGACGGGAATAATTATCCAGATTTTACAAATGTTACTAAATGTAATAACTGTAAGTACAATTACTATAAATATTCATTCATAATAATTAATGAAATGTAATGTCCATCAAATATTTTTATTTATTTGTTCATAAAATATGCACTTATACCTCGAAATCGCTTTTTGCCTAGGGAGGTAAGTTACCTCACTTACCTCCTTAAAAACAATGTCAACAACAATTAATAGTCTATTTACTATAGTGGGAGGAGATAAAATTAATAATGAGAATTTAGTGTCAGTAGAAAGACTTATGGATCTAAGAGATCTTTGATTGCCACTTCAGTTTACTCACATTATTCATTGATAATTATATTTTAGGAAAATGATTGGTTTCATCGTTGGCAACTGTTGGTCACTTACTAGTAGTATTAACGCTCTGGCACGAAATAAAGACATTTATACGAAATGAAGTTCAGTTCTGAGTTCGTTGATGATAGTCCTTTGGTGCAATAGTTTCTTTTCATTTCAAATGTATATTATAATTATTTCTCTTTAAGGAAACATGTGATACTGAACAATTTTTTTGAATATCTTCTGGTGGAAAACTAGATGAGCAAAAGACCAACGTATTTATGAAAAATCAAAACACATCTTGCTTTCTTAAAACATATTTGATTATCCACAAATTAAGTACGTGGTTAAATCAGAAAACTATAAATATATAACACTGTTTTTTTTTAATAAAGAATAGGATGCAAATAAATGAGTATTTAAAAAATTAGCCATAATAAACGCGCAAAGATGAATTTATCGAAAACTTTTCTAAAAGATACATACCTGTGTGGGTTCTAATATGCCCTTGGAGCAGCCAGGGTCTCGAAAAGCACTTTCCGCAGTACTGACACTTGCATCCCTGATTGTGAGTCCGCACGTGCATGGAAAAAGCAGGCATACTGACATAAACCTTGTCGCAGTGCGGACACCTTCTGGCCTTCTTATCTGCAGGGCTACGATGGGTTTGGCGGTGTCTGGCGAGGTTGCTGGAGGTGCTGTATCTTTTGCCGCATTCTGCGCATTCGTGTTCGTGACCTTCGGAGGTTGAGGATGATATTAATGGTGTCTCGATAGTAGAACTGGGCGGTGTTGGCAGAGCCTGGGGTTTGGAAATAACGCCGAATGTGGTATATTTGGAATCTTCAGTCTGAAACAGGATATATGATGTTATTGGTTTTTAGAAAACTTATTTTTCTGCATCTCACAATCCTAAAGCAATTATTAATAATCGAATTAGAGTTTAAACGTAAAAAAAATATTATAGTCCAATTAACTAAGCCTTTAAATAGAAATTTTGCCAACTTGGCTGAATTTTTGATATGAGTTAGTTTAAGGTATATTATAACAATAAGTGAGAGTAATTTTTTGTTCAACCCCCGGCCAAGGGTGGAAAAAGATAAAACAAAGGGCTTTTTCAAGATAATTCAAAAAGGGTAAGAGCTAGAAAAAAAAGTTTTTCATGAAAGTTGTAAAGCAGACAATTCTACATAAAAAAGGCCTCTTAACTTTTTCTTGTACTATTACAATTAACAGAGTTAGGGAGGCTAGAAGTTAAGGGAAGATTTCAGAAATTTAAAAAAAATCATAACAAACAGAAAAATGATTGAATTTTGTAATTTTTTTTTCAATCTGCTCTAAAGTATGTAACTTTTCTTTTCAGAGAAATAGATATATTTTTTAATTTTTAATAAGAAAGTTATAACAAAAAATCAAATTTTTAATCGTTAATTTTAATGATTTAACAAAATTAAATTTCTGAAATCTTCCCTTAACTTCTAGCCTCCCTAACTCTGTTAATTTTAATAGTACAAGAAAAAGCTAAGAGACCATTTTTATGTAGAATTGTCTGCTTTACAACTTTAAAATTTTTTTTCTAGCTCTTACCCTTTTTGAGTTATCTTGAAAAAGCCCTTTGTTTTATCTTTTTCCACCCTTGGCCGGGGGTTGAACAAAAAATTACTCTCACTTATTGTTATAATATACCTTAAACTAACTCATATCAAAAATTCAGCCAAGTTGACAAAATTTCGATTTAAAGGCTTAGTTAATTGGACTATTAGTAGACATTTTATTGCACTAACGTGTTTTTACTGTAAAATAAAGGTCGAACGCAGAAAAAAATCAGTTTTCGAGAATTGCGCATTATTATTGCAAAAACCTGTTGATATTGAGGAAATTTATGGAAAACACCAACATGTGTGCCAAAGGCCGATTCGATTGACTGTGAAATTGTTGCTACAGGTACCTATTTGTTAATTATTTTCGTTCGGTTTTTTGCAACTAATTGTTTAATTACTAAACGTTATTTTGTGATCCAATTCGACTGGAGTAATACATATTCAGGGAATGATAGGATTTCAGAAATTAATAAAAAAATCGAATCAGTATGAATTAAATAATATTATAGTCCACTATGGTACGCTACCAACGCAATTTAAACCTATACTGGGATACGTGCTGGTGGTTAGTTAAAGTTTTAACAGTTTAACGGAAAAACCGGAAAATTGGACAAAATTGACTTCCTTTTCATTTTATTTTCGGAAGCAAAAATTGGAGAAAAATGAGGAATGAAAATAAATGCACTTGAATAAATACTTATATAAAATATTTTTCCAGATATATTTTGCTGGAATAAATCTCAATGAGTATGAAACTAATAAATTTTAATAAAATTCGGGATCGGATGTCCTCAAATATCAAATTACTAGAGCTCAAGCACGAATTAATGAAAGGTGAATATACCTAACATTTTATTTGAAACACCAAAAAAAACACAAAATTTTTAACTTTAAAAACAACACTTGTGATATTTAAGCAAAGTTTGGAAAACCAAAAAACTGGAATCGGTAAAACATTATTTTGCAAATTCATTTAAAGAATCTTCAGATTCCATGTCTGACTATAGTTTCTTCCAAGGCCTTTAAAAGGTTAAGAAACTTTGTCATATATTAAAATATCTTCACCTCATAATATCCAGAAATACATAAAATACACAGTCTCTGTGGACATCACGACAGAGTTACGTTATTCATAGAAACTGTTATAAATTTTAATGTCTCTAAATGCGTAACATGTCGTTTATTTATTAAAATTTGTTTATTATGACATGAGCAGTCTTACTCCTTGGGAATAGCCTTGTGAAGAACTAATTATATAGGTATCTCGTTGAAACATCATAAAAGAAAAAGTTGTCACATAATGTTGTTAAACAATGTTGCATCATACATAGTAGGTGTTAAACTGATCAATTTTCTAAAAATATTAAGAAATTTCCTCTAAACGAATAATTCTCGGTTGTAGGTAAATAAATAAAATTTCAGCTGCTACGTTTTAAAATAGCCAACTTTTTCATAGGTTTTCCCACAAGTGTTGTTACTGTTATTTTGAAGTAAACAAAGTGGTCTGTTATTTTGATCAGACCCTGTTATTGCCATGTTTTCGGACGCTTTGAACACGAATAAAAAGTCATTTTGTCGCCAACGCCTACTGTTTTTGAGAAAATAACCCCTAAATGCTCAAAACTGGGAAAACCCCCATATTTTCGGACCTACTGAACACGAATCTGCAAATGTAAAGGAATACGAAGAGGGAGACGACAGTCGAATGTATACTGTGGGACGGGAAGAAACATCCATAAACATTTAATCAAAATAAAAATTCGGGAAATGGCCGGAAAACTGCAAAAAACGTATTTCGTGAATAACTTGAAAAGCATTGAGAATTTGCAAAGGATCAAAGTTGTTTGTGGAATTAATACTTTTCAAGTCATTCACGAAATAAGTTTTTTGCAGTTTCCGGTCATTTTCCGAATTTTCCCGGTCCGCTCCTGTGCAGAACATTTTTTTCCCTAGTCCTTTAGCAAAAAACTAGCCATATGCGAAAAAAATGCGCATTTCGGAAGTTTGGGACACGTAGTGTTAAATGGAATAAACTCCATTTTCAATCGAAAGTATTAGGTATCTTTGGGATTTGACAGAAAGGACTAATGACGTTATCAATTATATTTTTTTCAGAAACATACCCAAATTTTTTTCCTGTTAAAAAGCTACCTTGTTTCTAATAAACTTTTATTAGAGAAATTTTTCTGCATTACTTTCCGTTTAAAAGTTATAAGCAATATCGCCCTAAAAAGTCTCAAAAGAAATACCACCTAAAAATAACATTGGCGGTGGAAGGATCAAATAGTCTTGGAAAACGAATGTTCGTTGTTTAAAGTGCAGAAATGTCACAAAATACTTGTCACTACTCAATATGAACATCAAACGTATAACTTTTGTACTTACAAAATGTTTTCTTATTCAGAAAAAGTTGTTATGTTGCTAATTTACGGCGAGTCACAAAAAAATTCAAGAAGAGCTGTAGAGCTATATCGAGAAAAGTATCCAGAGATTGGATATGTGTCTTGAAATAAGAGGTAGTCATATAGAGGATAGATTGTAATATGCATGTAGTAATTGTATGAAAAGTATGAAAGCGTTTGCCTCATTTTTTAAGTTTAATTATTGTTATCATCACCTTTTGTTTTAAAGAATTATCGAGTTTATTCATTTTATTTATTCTTAATGACATTTATGCACTTTATAAACACAACGAACATTCAATTATTTTCCAACGACTACTTAATCCTACCGCTAATGTTATACACCCTGTACATTTTCTCGAAAATGCTGGGTAGTGGTGCCAATTCACACAGATTCATGTTCGCGAGTCCGAAATTATGGCGGTAGGATTATGAAATCCAGTATACGGACTAGTTTTTTCCACGACAAACTGATGTGAAAATAATAAGGAACAAATCACTTTTAATTTTGTATGCCTACGATTATTATTATTGGAAAATATGCCGGATGCGCCAGTGTTAGGCAAATTTGTCCACATATATTTTACTAAGTGTACGAAGATAATTATGTTAAAAATAAGAAAAATATATCTAACCCCACAGATATGCTAACTGCTCATATTGCGAGAAGACTACTGTAAGGGCTACATGCCCTAACTAGCACTGAATTAGATCGGCAATACTAGCAGTTAGGAATCTTGTCTATGGGGATAGATGTCGTTTGTACACCTAGATTTCTGTTAACAAAGATATTGTTTGACTTCATTTGATAACATTTTGAAAAAATAATTGAATTCGTAATACACTTAGAATAGAGTAAAAGGCTAATTGTTAATTGACTTTCGTATATTCCCATTCTTAGTAGAAAATAAATTTCCATGATATAATCGTTACCTTTATTAAATGTGGTCTGGGGGTTCTTGACGATTTGTCGAAAAGTTTGTGAGTGTACGTGAATGACGGTGGTTCGTCATTGGTTGTGCTAGACGGCGACGAGAGTCGGCGCTGTTCCAAAATCTGACCGGTAGCTACGGCTACCTCGGCCAATTTTGTTAAATTGTACAGTTCATCCGGACATTCGGAACTGTTCTCCGACATTTGAGAATCCGTCTCTGCGATACTGACCGCATGTTCGGGACTCAAACCTGAAACAGAGGAAATACGTAAAGTAAACATGAAACATAAACTGATATTTTATCTGAGTCTTTAGGTGTGTAGGTGAGTGAGATCGTTGTCTGTGGTAAAAGGTTGTCAATTGAAACTAACATACTCATTATATCATTCAGTTACTAGCAGTTGTGATCGAAAACTTGCATTGTCACAAGTAAATTAATTGTAACATACTTATTTCATAATTTTCAGCATATATCTAAAATAGTAATTCAAATTATATTCATAATATTAGTCAGATGGGTACAATTTAGATGCACGCTGTATGAGTGTACAGGACCTGTGACAAGTATTACTTATTTTGAATTTGTTTGTTTTCTTGCAAATGCGATGGATTAAACAAGATACTTAGTAAAAAACGACTAAAAGTATTAACTAAACAATCTTTGACATACCGAGCATTTATTTGTTGTTGTTTTATATAGTATAATACAGTTTATAGTAGAAAATAGTAGTTTTAATTTTGGACATAGGAAAGGATAATATAAAAAATGTACCTAATGTCTTATTTTGGGTATTATGAGCTACTGAACTAAAATATTTGTATACAGGCTGTTTCTAAAATAGGGTTCCAAACTTCTGTTGCGTTTATAACTCATTAAAATAAGCCAAACAGTTCCTATTAACATGTGCCCTAAAACGCACCCTTAGGAAGTTATATGCCCTTAAAAGGGCTCAAACAAAACTGGTTTTTTTTCGTTATTGACAAAACGGTTGCAAATAGGTAAATAGAAAAAAAATTATGGGTCTTACATAACTCTTTACGTTAAATAACATGGGCTACTCCGTTTTTCGACATGCAAATCATATGCGTCCCATTTAGGTTGGTGAAGGGGGTTTTCGGCCCGTAATTTTTTTTATTTCAATTTTTTTACAATTTTCTCTACAGATTTATAAAATCTTAACAATTTTACGTAAAATTGTTAAGATTTTATAAATCTGTAGAGAAAATTGTAAAAAAATTGAAATAAAAAAAATTACGGGCCGAAAACCCCCTTCACCAACCTAAATGGGACGCATATGATTTGCATGTCGAAAAACGGAGTAGCCCATGTTATTTAACGTAAAAAGTTATGTAAGACCCATAAATTTTTTTCTATTTATTTGCGACCGTTTTGTCAATAACAGAAAAAAACCAGTTTTGTTTGAGCCCTTTTAAGGGCATATAACTTCCTAAGGGTGCGTTTTAGGGCACATGTTAATAGGAACTTTTTGGCTTATTTTAATGAGTTATAAACGCAGCAGAAGTTTG